AAATATCCATCACCGTCTGTGAGTCGTTCTTGTCGCGTCGTTGGTTAGAACCAATTCGTTTTTTTTTTACACATTGGACCCGCCATACTTGCTTGACGTTCCTAGGGGGCGAGTCGGTCAGGGGGCGAGTTGGTAAGGGGTGAGTCGGTCAGGGGGCGAGTTGGTAAGGGGCGAATCAGTCAGGGGGCTAGTTGACCTGACACCTTTGCATATTAATTTATTGACAGCAAAATGTTAATGGTGACACCTTGCAACTGCAGGTCAAAAAGGCAAGAAAAAGCAAAAGTATTTTCTGTGGACCATCCAATCAGGGCTTGACACCCAAACTACCACATTTCAATTGCTTTGAATAATACATGTACAAATTGTGCGTGCACCGAATTACAAAATTGATTGAATATTCCCATAGTCATAAATTAGCTTGTACACTGTTCCACCATGTATTATACGGCACTGTGAAATTTCTGGAATTGGACATGACAGTGCAGAAACTGACCTGGTTCTCCCATCTGATTCTTTTCAAATGCACGAGCAGAAGAGCGAGCAGCCTTGGAGAGGCAGCGAGTCGAATACCAGGCCTTGGTGCGGCAGCAGCAGGAAGCCATGGAACAGCAGCTGCAACAGCAACGGTGAGAGATACTTTATAGACGACGGCTGCGGCTATGAAAAGCGGGGAATGGCTGCAGCTGCTAGCCATTGATGCACATGTTACTTGTCATGTAACCACACAGCGAAATTAAATTACTAGATTGCTACCTTGCAATGGTAGAGTGGAGTCTGCTGGGTGTGTTCGAAATTCATAAATTCAGAATAGCATCGCTCAAGGCGACTTCAAAGTATCTCTGTGTTGGAAATACTGTCTTGATTTATACATGATTAAAAAACATTCAAGTGTAGTCATCAATATAGATATAAATGTGATGTAAGTTTCTCCAAGGTTTTGGGTTTTTCAGCACAGTAAACCAATATTTGTGTTGATGATGCTACATGTAAGTCGTTGTCTGTTCAGAGTGACACATTAATAGAATGGTAACTGTTGCATGCAATGCCAATGAAAAAACTTATTTGATTAAGTACAGTATTTAAAAACTGAATTGAAAAGCGTGTAGTATGTTGTCACTGACTGGGAAATCTGTAAATCAACAAAACTCTCCAAAGATTTCTTCCATGTAGTACCCAAATTGGTCAGAATGGCTATTTATGTTAGTAGCTGTACACTGAAAACATATTTTATTAATTTCCATCGTGCAAGGCTCGCTGATTATCCTTACAGCCACAGAATACTTTTATAGGAAGTATTGCCTACTATGTTTTAATTTCACATGTTATCTTTCCTTCACTTTGTTCCCTACTTTGACCATCTTCAGCCTGATGCACCAACAGCACATGGAAGAGCAGAAGAGGGCCACGCAACAAATGCAGCAGCAACTACAACAGCTGATGCAGTACCGTCTTCAGCCACAGGCAACAGTGCCTTCACAGCAGGTATCACACGGTTCCCATTCTTTGTGCACAAACATTATTCAGATAAGTCTGGCTACCAGACCTAAAGATTCCAATTAGTTGAGAGATTGGTGTGGTAGCCATCGTGGTCACGTGACCAACATTCCTCGAATTTCCTAAAAGTTCCACAATTTTCCAAATGCATATTTGTTGATTGTACGCAATGTGAAAGTCATCTTTTTGATTTCCCAGATGCCACATAATTCTGACAACTTGACTAATTTTTCCTACTTTGCTTTTGAATCCCTATTGCCACTTCTGCATAATGGCCATTTTGAAAAACTAATAGACAAGTGTGAGCTACATATATATCCTGGACATTACATTATATATATCTTGCATTGCATCATGTTCTACTTTGGGTTTTGATGGCTACCAGACCTACAGTTTACACACTTCAGGGGAATTGCCAGGTCCGGGAACCAGACTATATTCAGATTGCAATGTTGCCATTTAATCCCTCCTTTGACCTGATCCTGGACTGGTGGTCTGACCTCTCACTTGTTTATCAGAAAGCACCTGTTTATAGACACCTTGCTGACTCTACCTTCTTTGTTTGATCCTAAAGCCCAAGTTTGTGTTGCAACAGTACACGTAATACACAAAATGAACCCTACACAGGTCATTAGGAATAATCGGTACGCGTGCATGAGATTAGACCTACTACACATAACAGTACGCTGTTACATGTGCCTCTAATCTTAGTATCTCAGCCCAGTGCTGACTTACGCATGCTGCGCATGTCTGAGCCTGTGCGAAAGAGGGACTTTGAACCCCTTCAGAAATAAACATTATGGCAACTACATGTGTAGATAGAGGGTTGCAATATAGTTGCCCGTGGTAAAATTTGCTGTCACTTCTCTTAAAGGCAACAATCTGGTCAGTCTCAGCTTGTAACACAATTATATCATTATTTTAGGTGCCAAACCAAGGGCAACACCCAGGCCAGATGGAACAGTCAGAGCCGCTGTCACACGATGGTGGTGCTTTGCTCTCTTGCAGTAGGAAACCTGACAGTGAACCAAGGTATGTAAAATGCAGCCCCCAATGTGTTCCAATATTTACGGTACTGTAGGACACGGCCATTTGATGTTTACCCTTCCCCAGGCAACCACTTTATTTAAAACTGTCCATTAATGACATTATTAAAACATTCATACGTGAAAATTGAAGTCAAACTGTACCATGCGGTGTTTAAAGGAAAAAAGAAAATCTGTTGACAAATATCCCGTGTTGTATTGAAGGAAATGGGCTCATATTACAAAGTTTTTTCAACTGCATTCTGTGAATGTAGATTTATATCTGATAAGCAGGGATTTCTCAGCTTTTTAGGTGATTTCAGTTTTTTGTTTGTTTAGGATTTCAGCATTTTTTCCTCACTGGCTGTGTACAAAAGTATAGGAGGTTTTCATAGTTCAGCTTCTTAATGCCTTTTTTCAGCTGTTTTCAGCTATTTTTATCATTGGTCAATCTCACCCCTGGATAAGGGTCCGTATCATTTTGTTTTCATTTGGAACTTTGTGTCATGGTCATCTTCAGGCCGAGTCATGTTGCCCTGTCTGAGGGATTATTCGGCCTTTTTATGCTAATTTTTCTTTCCATATTCATGTGCAAAAGTGATGTCAGGTGGAATTTCAGGCTATTTATGGTGACAGACAGTAATGGGTGGAAAGGCTTGTGGTATTACCATGCGAAGGAATATATCTCTTATGAGTATGTGTGGTTCTGAAAAGAACCAGGAGTATACTCAACGTTTCTGACTGTGTGCTCAGTCCATCACCAGGAGACGATTGAAAAGTGATGTCATTCTCAACAGGAGCTGCTTTATTATGGCTGCTTAAACCTGTTCATGTTTTTTCTTTCTACTTCTTTTTGTCAACTTTCATTGCTTTGATCAAAAATGCCAGAAGTCTTCAGTACCACTAGACCACAAAATTGTGCAGAAGCACAGCTGGCTACATGTACTGTAGTTTCTCAGTTGCATCACATGTCTGATATGAACGTTTTCTTCTTGGAGAAAACTTGTCCCTTGCTTTGCCATGTTACAAAATAAAACAGTTCTCTGTCTCATTCCAGAGATCCTACTGTTACAAGGCAGTTAATGTATGAAGAAACTGGAAATCATGGTACGTGTATTATACACTTTATAATTTCACATGCTTTGCTTTTCTAGCCAACTACAAAAGTGTAGTTCAGACACTGAAGTCGGATGGAATTTCATAAATTAAACCAAGGCCCAACAGATTTGTTTGTCTGCAGACTTGATTCTGCAATATGACTGCCTGGTTTCCGGAGACCAATGCAGTGGGGCAGGCACTTAGTTAGCAACGTATGAGGTGCATGGCAGACTTGAAGCGGCGCTTTTCTCTATGTCAAATAGACACCTACGGTACAGGTCAGAATTTTAGCCGACATGCTAACACGATCAGTGAACCTGACACGCTGTTCATTACACGCTTTGCGGTTTTTAACGTGCATTGCTGGTCCAGTGCATGATAAGCCTGATCCTAGACCTCGTTATCTCGGCAGGGCTTGTGACCGCAAAGGTGACCGACAACGTGTAGTGAACTGCAAAGCATGTTTGCGTGTCGGCTAAAATTCTGACCGGTACCGTATTCTGTGTGAAATGGCTTAATGATCACCCTGTGCGCACATAATTGTGCATCTGTCATCGTTGTGCTGATGATTTAGTACAATCTGGGTTCTGCATATTTACTCATGTCATGTGCAACCACAAAAAGCTTTGAAGGCTTGTCAGCTGTCTACTGTATGGCACTCTTATTTTGCTGACTTAACAGTACTTCTTTGTAGGCTGGGCAATGTAGGTCACTGAGAAAGTCCAATTCTGTCTTACAAGATGCGTATGCTCTTAGTCATTTGTAAATTACTGAAGCATCTGATTGTAGGGTAATTATAACTAATTAAGTCAGCCATGCCACCCTGTGAAATTTGCGAATTAACTTTCTTTCCCCTCTGAGCGTGCATAAAAATGCCCAGTTGTCAGTTGTGACGAGCAGGTAATAATTCAGTGTGTTTATTTCAGATTCTGATTTCAGTGGTGATTTCAGTGTTTTTCATATTCTTTCTTTTGAACTGTTCAGCAGCCTGGATGCTTGCAGGTGACACATCCGCATCTTGTCAACCGATCCCTTCATCAAGCCAGGCTGACGGACACCATCGAAGCACTGGCAAGATAACGCCGGGTTCCACTGCCACCGGCGCAGTGGCTGCCCCAAACGTCTCGCAGACCCCCACCCCTATCGAGCGTGGCGCCCCGACCCCGGGCTCAGCTCACTCACGCAACACCTCAGGTCTGGGCCTGAGCCGCATGATGACGCCCAGCCACACCCCGGGGGCTCTGACACGCCCCTCACCCACCGTGCACACCAAAGAGGCCATAAGCGTGGTCATGGCCATGCTGAATAACCCCCTAGGGGACGATGATGACTTTGGATGGGGGGCTGGGCAGCAACTCCCCCCAGCCCAGAGAGACAACGACTTTGAGGCTAACTTTGCAAATGCCGGTAAGAAACATGTTTTATGAGAAATTCAAAGAATAAAAGTGATCTATCGGTAACCCTTTAGGAGAGGCCGTATTTTGCCTTAAATCTGAACTAAAGTAAACAGATGAGTTACAGTTACTTACAGGAAGTATTATGTTGGAAGATCCCCCTCTCAATAAATACAGGCCCATGGCCTGGAAAAGTCATGAAAAAATCCACGGAAATTTGTTTTAATTTTCTAGGCCTGGAAAAGTCATTGAATTTGTAAAAAAAAATTAAAGTCATGGAAATGTCATGGAATTTTTCAAACACTGTGACTTCTGTTATCAGAAATAAGTGCATTCAGTGCGTGATTTTATTCCCAACTTTGGGTCCTGGATTTTCATAATTTGGTCATGGAAAAGTCACGGAATTTACATGTATTTGTCCTGTAGGTGCAGGAGCCCTGCACTGAGTTAGGGCACACTAATGCACTTAATTTATCTTATTGCGCCCTCTGCTGAGGTGTGCTAAATCTTTACTTGAAATTCAAGCCCATTCATCAAGGGCTTATTTACTTCGTGCAGTTCTGGATCTTAATCATGGGTGGTCCCAAGGCTGATTCCTGCCATCCATTAGGCAAATTCCTGTGTTACTCAGTGAACCCAAGGTCCGATCGCTGATAGCGACCAGATCTGCACGAAACAAACAGGCCCGAGGACACAACGCGGCTTATACCATGAAATTCGTAATCGAGTGATTGCTGGCTTTTTCCAAAACAGATTCCCAGAAATGCCAGCCGCAAGCTTTTCCAGACTTCCAGGGCCCCGCATCGGACACCAGCGAGTTCACCTCTGCCAGCAAAGGAACCACTGCTGGTCCTGCCTTCACCATTTTCAACGAGGCCGAGGTGCTGTGTGCTGGTGGAAGGCAGGCCAGTCTTGATGAGTATGACCACCTGGACAATCAAGAAAATATGTAAGTTTTAATGCCGAGACCTTTGGTTTGAGGCTTAAATCCCAGAGCATTGTTGACTAAGTACCAGTCCCGTGCAGTAAAATCCATAGCACGTTCTTGTACTGAACCAAAGCTACGTCAGCCATGGCTCAAATGAACAGTCTAAAATCCAAAATGGAAAAAGTTAGTGATAAAAAAAGTGAATCCTTTACATGATTTGGCAAATGTGGGTTAGTTTAAGTGAATGATTTAACAGTGAGGATTCTGAACAAAGGGTAGAATATGGAATGAATGCGTGATTGATAGTGAAATTTCTTGCCTCTAGAGACTTGCAGGTCCTTCTCTATATTGGATATTGTGCCTCAGAGTTTGTCATTAATGGTGTTGCCAGTTTCAAGTGTCCCTGGTGACAGTAGTCACATTCAAGTTGGGTGTTAGGATTTGTTTTTCTAAGGTTTCCCACACATGTGGACGGAAACGAGTTTGCAAAGATGACGCACGAGTCCAAGACCATTCAGCAGGTGAGGTTGAGCACTGTTTTTCACTCTTGTCTATGTGTACGTTTCCAGACCGCCCAAGGATTTCGTCAAGCCAAAACCAGACGGCCGTCAGAAACTTGGAGTTTTGCGGCCCGCCCAAGGAATTCCCTTCATACCCTTGGAGGAACAAGAAAGAGCAGCCAGGGAAGAGGAAGAGCGAAGCCCACCAGAGGAGGTATGACATGGCACGGGGTCTGAAACACTGTGTACATACTAAATGTACCAATATGTCGAATGCAAAATTGGCTTTTATGTTAAAATTCTTGTGCAGTCAGCGAAGGTTCTCATTTTTAGTACCCACCAAAACCATGAGGATATCAAAATTTAGATAATGTGAATGCATAAAGAGAGATTTGGGTCATGACCACTAATAGCCAGTGATGTAGTCGAGTACTTTTTG